TTTGATATAATTTCAATAACTATTGTAAAAAAATCACTCCATGCTTACTTTTGTAAGTTACTGTATAAGACTACTTTAATCGTCACTTTGGTTTCGTTTACTTATAAGTATTTTTTTCAAATAGCGCTTTTTCGACAGATGGATCGCCCTTCGAATCTTCTCCTCAGCCTCTTCTACACCATATAACGTTGCAACGGCATCTTAAAATAAATAAATATAAGTACACATAACATTTCAAAATTTACTTTAACGAACCTTTGACGACTTTATACAGCTTGAAGTCCTTCAACCGCTTCTTTCCATGACTACCGTCCGTGTTGTACTCATAAATGAATTCCGGCTCGAAAATCAAGTCAATATTTTTCTGTAAATTACTGGAAATAATTTTTTTCACCATATTGACCTACAAAATAAAAAACAAAAAATTAATATTAAGGAACAAATGGGCCAGCGGTCAAAATAGTAGCAGCCCAATATTTCGATAATAATTTTTTTAATTTAATTTTAATTATGTTTTTATAAAAGTATAGTTCGTTCTTTAACAAACACAATATAAATCCAGGCTTCAAACTTTGTTTACAATTTAAAAAGTTTGAAATTTTGATGAAAATTTGTTGAATTGTTTTAAATTTTGCACAAAGTTTGAAATCTGGATTTCTATTGTTTTTGTTAAAGAACGAACTACACTTTTATAAAAACAATTAAAATTAAATTAAAAAAATTATTTTCGAAATTTGTACACTTGTTAAAACATTTACTAAAGTGCTTACATAGCTTTTAGTGTTGGATTCGTATATATTTTCATCCAATTCTTTTAGCGTGTCGTCGTCTTTTATGGGGAATGTACCCGACATGGTTGAGTTCTCTGTGTCTTGAATTAATAGCTTTTTTATAAGAACATTTTGTTCAGCTAATGCTTCCATTACAACTGTATTTTGAAGAGTGGTCGAATCTGAAAAATCGAAAAAAACTTTAGTTCTAATTTTTTCATATCATAAAAATCGAAAAAGTGCATACTTTTTAGTTCCTCTGTTACGAATGAATGTAGTTGTGATATTGAATCTGAAAATATAGAAGTAAAAAAGTTTTTTTTTTTAATTCTTACAAAGTTTTATACATACCTTTTATTTCCTGAAATTTCTTATCTATTTTTGTTTCAAATATTTCTTCCAGCCACACGCAATTCTCACACCGGTTTTCATCTGCACAAAAATTATAATGAATTTGTTATAAAAGTACATTTTAATTTTCAATATTTACCTTGTGTTTCCACGTTTGTCTTCGTGAGTTTAACGTACTTTGATGGCCGTTTTCCATTTTTGGGGGTTCGCTTATAAATAAATAAATTATAATGGTTACTTATTTGTACATTTAAACAAATATTAAATTTTTATTGAGTTTAAAAGCAGCCATGTAAGATTGGAATCAAGACAATTTTATCCTGCTGAGGTAAACCTATGCACTTACATTTGATTTGGGATAGAAGAAAACTTTCGTCTATGCTGCTGCGATTTAAATTGACCAAACATATTCCTAAATATTTTAATGAATCTATTGGTTCCTCAAAAAAAGCAGTTGGATTTAAAAGTCGCTTTCCTATTACAAGTTTTTTTTCTTTATTGAAAGCTGCTATTTGGAAAGGTATATTAGGTTCAATAAAACAATAGTTGTCGGGAAACTCGACACTAAAAATATATTCCGACGTGACTAACTTTATTCGATTTTTTTCTTCTAAAAATCTTTCTTGTTGAGTTTGTATATTAGGCTTTTCGCGGGAAACGTTGTTATAAATTTGTTGAAGTATATGTGTGGGTTTTTTAACGTAACTTTTTAAAATTTGCAAGTAATTTTCAAAGTTGTAAGCTGAAAAATTTTGCAGAATTCCGAATTGTTTTGCACAGTCTGTGATATGCAAAAGGCTGTGCACATTAAAACTCACGCTATTTTCCTGGAACACAACTGGAAAATTTTGCACAAACAGCTTCAGCATATCCTGACAAAGTTTTATGACAAAGTTTTATATTTCGCTCGTAGCTTTTTGGACATGATAATAATTTGCTTCCTTTTAGTACTAAAATACCCGTATAGAGCAAAAATTGCCGAAATTCCGTGGCTTTCCAATGCACAATATCTTCGAAGCCACGCGGTCGGCGAGAAAATTCCAATGGAATATATTTTCGAAGGGATTTTAAATCCTTAGAAATATTAAGGATATTCTCTTTTGAAACTTTATATTCCAAGTTAATTTTGTTATTTAACAAACGCATCAGAAATTTTCTTACCACCCCTAAGTCTACCAAGTGCATACTGTCAAGAGCCACTTGACTTACCATATTAAGATTAATTTTTTCCAAAGGAGAGATTTTAGAACGAAAAGTTTTTTGATGGTGAGATTTTAGCCGCCTCTCCTTAAAATCTTCATCTGAAATCAGTGGGCCTGAATCTATACTGTAAGTTAAAACGTGATCAATATGCTTCGCTACTTGCGTACATTTGGAACAACCGTAAGAGGATGTGTGCCCAACTGTTCCACATATAAATGAAGTAGCTGGGGCATCGCAAACCACAGCTCTTAATGTAAGGCGAACTGTTTTGTTTTTAATACAAATTCCAGTTTGTGAAATGCGAGTCATTTCTTCAACAAAATCAAGTAAATAAACATCTAAATCACTGGGCTTTTGCTTTCCAACATATACTCCAATGGGTAATATAGAAGTTATCTTAGAGTTAACAATTCTAATCAAAATGGGCCATAGCTGAACCCTGGAGCTTCTAAATAAGGGTATTCCA